GACGAGACTCACTATCAAAATTCTCAGTTTTAACTACGCCAATTAAGATTGATGTGTTTATTTTTTAAAGAAATTTCAGAAATAATTAAAAAGTGAATTGAGCTCGTTAATGAAACTTATTAGTATATAATTTTAGACCCAAAAAGTAAAAATAAAATTGTCACTACTAAAAAATTAATTCATAAGATTAAGGGTAAATTTGAAAAAATAAATCATTCATTTAAAGAGAATCTATTTGTTTTAATAGTATTGATTGCTCAATAATTAACGCCACTTAGCCTTATATGTCATTTAATAATTCAAAATTGCAGCTTAATTCAATTGACACACTCAACCAATTATCGATCACGTCTTACTTAACCAACTATGATTCAGTTTTAGTAGGTTTGCCGTATCAAATTCAATCTAGCCAAAATGCGGTTGACTACTATTATAAACTAAATCTGTAAAACCTATAACATAAAATTAACATAAATGAACCCATACAAGAATTCATCACAAATTAAGCATGTCAATATCCTACGAAAGTTTATTCATTTTGTATTAACATCTATAATAAACCAAGTCTGTAAATCGAAAACATAAATTTAATATTATAATCAAAAATAAAAATATCAAGAACGTCACTACCAAAGAACTGTTTATCATGTAATTTAAATTAAAGTATACCACAATCTAAATCAATAATTTTGTAAAATATTACAATGTTCTACTCAACAGATATTTTTGATGCACACAATCTAAATCAATATATAATTTTGTAGAATCCTAAAATCAGTGACATCTTATACAATAAAGTTGAGTTTTCTCCCTTCTTAGGGTGTACACATCAACTTTTAGGAGGGGGCAAAAAATGACATGTCAGCAACAATCTTTAACTCTCCTCTTTCTTTTTGTTTCGAATGATTTTTATAATTGTTGGTGGGCTGAGCGTATTTTCTTACTGGCCCATCAATCATCTAAACTTTGACAATTTTTTTTTTGAAACAGACTCATCATCTACCAGCGTAATCGACAGTAGCTCTGGCTATAAATCTCAGAGAAGATCATCTTACATAAATCTCTTTTCTTCGGTTTTTTCAGCCGATTCATTTTCTCCAATCAAAACTGTAAAGTCTATCATAACACTTTATATCCTTCTCATCGCACAAAACAAAAAAATCCTTCTCGATCTGGATTTCTCTTCCATCTCAGTTTTTTATTTTTTGATAGTTTGTTCTGTGTGAATTTTGGTTTATAGGAGCGATTCTATATGATTCTATTTCTACGACGATGATGAGCTTGGGAGGTAAACACTGGTCAAATATGAAACAAACGATGATCTTTATCGATTACCACCCAAGCTTTTTTTTCTTTGCTATGCTCATGGTCATTATTTCCTAACTGATTGAGTTCTCTGTTGTTTATCATTTCTGTATGTGTAGACTTTGAGTAATGGCTCCAGCTAAAAGGTACGACTTCTCTATTAATACTCGATCTGCTTTCAAGAAGGGTTCTCCTCATCTACCTATATTAGGCTATTAACCTCCCTTGCCTGTTAGAGTTGTTATTAATCTCGATTCCGGAGAGTTTGTCTCTCTCAAACAGGTTAATTTGAAAACTTTGTCTCTGATTTTGAATACTGTAATCTTTCTCTGTAATTTTTTTTTAAAAAAAATTTCTCTTTCTCCCTGAAGTTAGATTCCTATGATGAGTTTTTTTTTGGTAATCGATGGACTCTCCAAGCTCATTCGTTTTAATCCCATTACCTTAATTTTTTTATTTCCTGACGTATTCTATTTTTTTGTGTTTACTTTAACGTTATTGTTGTTGTTTTATTGACTGTATTTTAGTTGCTAAACATACATGTTGTGTTGTCTTCTGACTTCGCTTTCATCACATTATCTTAGTTATTTATTGCTCTACAATGAGCTGATATATTCATGACTTTCCTACTTTGCTCATCATTTTCAGAAGCTGGCAAAAGAAGTTAAGCTTCTTAAGAATCACTCACATCCAAATATAGTTGTAAGCAATAAAAACTTTTTTTTATTTCTTTCAATGTTTGATAGACCCTCCACATTTTTGTTTCTTTTTTTAACTCTTTCATTCTTTTGTGGACATTAGATTTCTGAGAGATGGATGTCCCATCAGTGCCATGATTATGAACGAGAACATGTTGAAATATTCTGCCACATCTGCTGCTTCTTCCCAATCTAATTCCGACCCTAATGCTCTCTCTAAGAAACCACCTTCAACGAAGGACATACACACCAAAGTCGCAGGCCGGTGCTGCATATCCATGTTATGTGAGTCGCACATGTCTTCCAGCTCACACGGTCATAACTCAGACAGTGAAACCATCAAGTGGCTTCTCTAGCAAGATGAACCGGCAGCTATAGCTACTACAAATACAAGGACTGTAACCATTCAGTCTAACTTCGCTTCTCTTAATACCTCACTTAGTAGCTCAAGTTCTTCTCTCTCTACTGATAAACTTTGTACAACCCCCAAACAGCTATTACTCTTATTCGCCTACCAATATGAGCCGCATTCTTCTTCAGAAAGAAACTACACGAAGGAAAGGCCAAGAGGGAAAAGAAAGGAAAAATCTACTGCTAAGGAAACTGTACAAGCGAAAGCTATGCTTGAGATAGCTGAGAAAATGAATAGGAGAAAATGGACGGAGAAAGGAAAAACAAAGGGCAAAACTAATAATGAGAAAGTTGATAAAAAAGATGTACCGGAAAGAAGCATTACTACTTCAATTCAAGCAATGTCTCCGTGTGAAGTTGCTGAGAAAGTAGTAAAAAGAAAGAAAATGGAAGATTAGAAACCAATTCCAAAAGTTTGGAGAGATTAAAGGTCGGCAACAAGTTATCAAGAGGAGACACTCCCAACAGATTCTAATCAATTATATTTGTCGTTTAAAAATGATGATGTGCATGTTTGTTAATGAAATTTAAACTACCAAATATGATTTTTTACATGGATTCACATATTACGTTTTCCTCATTGCATCAATCGGCGCCAACAAACCTATTACCAACTCTAAGCCAAACTATTGTTTTGTATGGGCTACCAAAAAAAACACTTCATTTTTGCTTACCTTATTTGAGTTAGATCTGACTTGATTTTTTTTCTCATCAAAGATATATTTATAAATACCAGGATACAGAATGAAAATCCATAATCCAAACCATTTACAACAATTTTAACCCATTACAACACACACCCACATGAAACGGTTAATAATAATTACAGAAATCAGATATTCACAATCAGAAAAATACACCTATAGGGGACCCAATTTTCTGATAGTCAAAAAGCTTGGCAACCCAAAAGGCCAGCCTAACGCTACTTGGTTTTAATTACTATAATTATATAAATGGCATAAAAGAACTTATGCACAAAAAATATTGTTAAATAAAGATCAATATATAACAATATTTATAAACAAATATATTAATTTTCTGAAAACTCTAAAATATATAACAGTGTCATTTCACCCTCCCTCAGGTGAAGGTGTAAATTAACTCAATCGTGGCTCATATAGAATTTAAAGAAACTAAATAACGACAACAAAAACATGAAAAGTAATACATATTAGCTTTTTAACAAATTCAGTCTGGAGAATGGAAAATAATGAAATATCGCTAATAATACAATAAACATTTAATGAAAATACATAATATAACTTAACTTGGTGGAAAAATTAGCTAACAATTGTAAGTTACTGAAAATACATAATATAATATAATAATACATAAATTTAAAAAATAAAAATAAAATTTTCTTTACAGAAAATGAAAAACATCTAATAATAATATTTTTTCCAGTTTCATCATACTCAAACCAACGAAAATAAAAATATGTGAAAATAAAAACGTGTGAAAATAAAAACACGTGAAATTAATTGATAGTTTTCCTGTTTTTGGAAAAAAATAAACTTAAATAAAGTTAAATTTAATGTAAAAAACAAAATTATATATAATGAATTTACAAAATGTAAAATAAAAATTTCAATAAAACCAATTACAGAAATAAAATTAGTGAATCATATCACATAATATAACCAAAAAACATAACATAATATAAATATATAGTTTTCAAAATATTCTCCTAATCCATATGTATAAATCTTAAGATAATCTAAAGATGATAATTTTAAAGGTTCATCAAAATACGTTAAAGAATTTTTTTAAAAAATGTCTAACAATTCCTTTTTGATTATTAAAATCAAGATGCATAAAACTGAAACACATTATGAAAAATCACAATAAATAATTTATTTATAATAAACATAATATAACCAGATATAAAAAATGTAAAAATGTCATCAAACCTACACTCAGTTATGATAGAAATATATATATATGCACAATCTACAAAAGAGACGATAAAAAACAAAGTGGCAAAGAATATATAAATATAAATAAAAGTGCATGACTTAAATATAAAACAAACATATCAAAGCCTACATTATCAAAATAATGTACAATGTAGTCCAATAAAAATATCTTAATTATAGAAATATGAAATATAAATCGCAAATAAATAATTTAAAATAAAAATATGCAATAACAAATAATTATATATAACTAAACCATTCTAAGTAGGATACAAATATCAAACAAAATATACAAACTTCCGCGCGAAGCGCGGATCAACCACTAGTCTATTATATAAAATAGAGCCTCCCTCCCTCTGAGAGTGTCCACATAGGATCCAGCCTGGAAAGGCCACGTAGGATACAGTCCACGTAGGACAGCTTACGCCGTGTTTTATTAAACGCATATCTTGCGTATCTTCTCCTTTCTTCCTACGACACCGCCGCTTGACTTTCCCTTCCCTCACCTGAATGAACAGCTAGATGCATCTCCTGTAACGGAAGGCGTTGTGATTACTTCGTCTTCAATCACATTAATTTGTGATCCTACTACGAAAGCTTCTGATGCGTTGTTTCGACGGCGATTTCTGTATTAATAGGTTAGTGTGCTAATCTCTCTTCCTTCATGGTGATGAAGGGACCAGAGATAAAGATTCTTCTCAAGGCACAGAGAGATCCAAATTATCAGTTTCTTCAACCAATGGAAATTCCCTCCGCCGTGGAGAAATCGAAACGACTCCAACTTCATCTGCCTTATCTCCGATGGGGTCAGCATAGATTCATCAGGTGCGTGAAGCTACCTGTTTTCCTCACCTTTATTTCTTCGTCTCCTTCTCCCTATTGAAACCAGGAGATGACGCCGTTGGAAACCAAAGGTACCGACTTTAATAAATGGAGGTGAACTCTGCAACTCCACCGTGGAATCTGAGGACGACAAGAGCTGCTTCTAACGAACCTGGGAGATGGGCCCACGAGGATCATTGGCAGCAACAGAGGTAGTAACGAAGGAGGTAGTGATGGAGATTCACATAAACTGTTCTTTGTTGAGGGAAGAAGTCGAAAAAGATTTCACAGCCTCCATTGGGAAATAACACCTCCTCGAAGACAAAAGAAAAGACCAAGAACTGTTCAGAAGCAAATAATGTAATATTCCCTTCTCTCTTTCCCTACCACAAATAATGTTTTATATCTTTGCTCTGTTGCTTATCGTTGAATCTGAAATCATGACTGAGACAGATGTTATAGAAGAATCTAAAAGGGATGAGAACTTGGTTTGTTTATGGCAGTGAGAACGTCTCAGCTGATAGGATCAAGAGCTGACCCAGAAGCTTCCTGATTCCAGCAAATCAAATGCCGTTGAACAACATAAAATCTGTTTCACCCAATTCAAAAGTGAGAAATTTTGCGAGTTATTAAGATTGGTAATTTTTATCTTCACTTCTCCTTCTCTGAAATTGTCTTTTTAGTTTTCCTTCTTTTACAGGATTCATTTGGTAAGAAGCTAATGGATAGGATCCGGCCAACCCAACCCCGGTTCCTGCACAGTACTCTTCGTCCGCCTCTACCATGGTGTCTCAGGCGTCTTCTAAAGCTGCATCGGAGGTTTGCATCTGCGCTATCCAATGTCGTCTGTAGAGAAGCAAATCCAAGGGAGCCATGTTGATGCAGATCCACAGCAACACTATAGGTGTTGCCAAATCTGCACTTAATCCTCCTAAGTCCAGTTTCATGCCGCAAATTTAGAGACAAGGTGGTCTTTCTCTTTCTCTATGTTCATATACACTTGGATATGTAATATAAGGAATTAAAAATGCTTCTCTTTTGTTGTTCTATGTGATCAGAAAAGACAAAACCCTGAGCAAGTAGAAGAACAAGATCCACTTATTAGTTGCTGTTCTTCTTTGTAAAGAGTATTCACTAATTAGCTGACGCCTTGGATCATGTTAGGTTTTGCTCTTATTCTCTGCCTTTGAACCACTCTTCTGATGAAAATTATATATCAATCTGGCTGTGTAAGCATACCCACTGGTATATATTCAAATATTTTTAAAAAAAATTTTGAGACTAATGTTCACACAAATTTGGAGACTAATGTTTATGGTAAATTTTAATAGGCCTTTAGACACTTCTCTGTTCCTGCATTACCTTTAATCTGTTTTTTTTTTATCCTTGATTGCAGCTAAGCAGGCTTTGTACCAAACACATGATCTGCTTCTTATACGCCAAGGCTGCCTTGCTTCAAGCGGGGTGTCAATACCCTGACAACAACATCAGGGAGTACACAAAGTAAAAGACCTTGGATGGGTTTCGTATGACCAAGAAACTCACTGACCCATCAAAGATGGAGGAGGCTTCTGCTGAAGGTAATGCACAGCTGGGGGTTGTAGAGAGGGTGCTCAAGGTTTACTCGACATATCTCCCAAGACCAAAACATCATGGAACTCAAGCTTCAGTAGTAGATGTACATTTTGCATTTTCAGTACCCTCATAACATATTTGTTATTGTTCATGTTTTTCAGTTTTTTTCCAACTATGAAACTTTACTTTGTGCTATTCGTATGTCACCTTTGGCTTATGGCTGCAGACCTTTATAAAGTGGAGAGAGGATGCTACCAGAGAATAATCATGGATTAGAGCAGAGATAAAGAGCAAAGGGTCTTTTGTTAATTGTTTTTAATAATAAACCTCACAAGATTCTGGGTTGTTCCATTGAAATGATCGCAACTTTTCTGTAGTTTATGTTGATCTTTAGCACTGATGCTGTTAGGTTATAGAAATAAAGAAAATCACAAGCTACACTTTAGAAGCTAATAGTAATATTTTTTTTTTAAAAAAATATCCTAATCTGTTCATTTATTTTATTTGATAATTTCTTAAAATAAATATGGTTATTTTTAAGTAGTAAAGATCAATATTAAACTATTGTACAGATTAGCTATTTTTTTTTTGGAACGTCAGATTAGCTAATTTAGAAAATAAATTTTACACCGATTCTCCTTTCCATTATGCAAAGCTTGATTTAGAAGAAAATGTATAAGAAATTATAAAACTATCAAGGGATTAAAAGAAATTTATAAGAGAGAGAGAATTCATGATCTATGTAGTGAACTTCAAATGTAATTCTGAATAATATATTTACTTATTTTATAATTAAGTTAGAACAAAAAAATAGTAACACTAATTAAAATGTGTATGATTTCTAACAAAAATCAAATAATTGTTATTAATTTAGAATAAACTAAATATTTCTAAATGTATATAAAATATCTTTAAAAGAATTCATTTGCGTACCTGCCCGTAAGATATATTTACCCTTAGGTGCATAGACTTTAGTGGCCTTTGAAAATATTTTTGGGATGAGTGATTAAAAATGAAAAAGTCTTTACAACAATATTTCACTAATAAAAAATATACATAAATGTTCATAATAAATAGTTTACACTATAATATATATTTAAAAATATGCAAACCATGAAAAAGTTTTAGTGCTTCACTAATGGAAATCCAAATACTACGTATTTCAGTTTCTTTTTAAAGTATGTTAGTTGTTTTAAGACAACAATCCTCATTGTTTATAAAACAAAGAATATTTAATTTAGTTCGAATGTAACTTCAGATCTCTTTAAAAAAAAATCTACCAATGGATCCTCTGAATCTTGAATGGAACATAGAATCCATTATGAATCTCTTTCCCCTTAATCTGAAATCATATGTTTAAGAGTAAGACCAAGGAAGAAATGGTCCATAGATGCTCATATTTGTTTCTAAAACAATCTAGCTTATTTTACCAAAACCAAGTATCACCCAACAATAAACTTAAAAATGAGACTAATGAACACCAGGAACAATAATGGTTTTGAACTTTAATGGATTAAAAGAAATTTATAAGAGAGAGAATTCATGATCTATGTATTGAACTTCAATGTAATTCTGAATAATTTATTTACTTATATTATAATTAAGTTAGAACAAAAAAATAGTAACACTAATTAAAAAGGAATTTTTATTATAGTTAGATAAGTGTATGATTTCTAACAAAAATAACAAAAACCAAATAGTTGTTATTAATTGAGAATAAACTAAATGTTTCTTTAATATAGAAACAACATGAAGACTATTTGAAGCCCTCATAACATAACAATGCCATATTTCTTTAATATAGAAACAACTATTATTTTTTTGGACAACAAAAATAACTATTGCAAACAAGCAAAAGAAATCTTATGACATATAATCCCTTATAGCCTAAAATTTTTTGAAAAACAAAAATCACTATCATAATCATCTTTTGCAAATGAAAATCTAATATACAAACTATAAAAATATTAATAACCTAGATCACAAGGTGAAGTATATCCCGCCCGTAGGGCGGGCTGTCCCTAGTTCTAAATATAACTCCTATTTTTAAGCGATTACGAAAACAGTATTAATCTTACTAAAAAAATCTGCATATTTTGTTTATTCAGTTTTTAAAACGTGTAAAAGTGTTTGACTAAATATACAATTATACATTTTTCACACTATATCCCTTATTGTATGTCATTGTATTGTTACAAATCCAATATATATTTTTAAGTGAAAAATTATAGAAGAAAAATAAAATTGGAAGAGGCGTCATGACTCTGCCAGCGTCATGACTCTGCCAAACCAAAACGGCGACCCTTGTGTTTCGATTGCACCGTTGCATATTTTACCTACCAGAAGATGGTTCTGGTCAAAGACAAAGAAAGCCAAGATAAATCTTCAACAACTGTATCGATTTTGGAGATCTTTGTAGAAGAGAGTTTGAAAAACATTCCCAAACCAAAACATTTAACTGGAGATCAGAAGTCTTATATATATACTAAGGTATTACACTTAAATTTTTTGGACATAACAATTTTACCCTTGCTACAACTATGTACAGACTAGCTAGTCTATATAAAGCATAATCTGGGTTCCGTTAGTTATACCAGTTAATGAAGTGGTGCAGTTGACCATATATCATTGACCTGATGACATTTGTCTTAACACAATATAGTCTTTAAAGCTACAAATATTGTTTTTTTTTTAACATTAGTAAGAATATTCTTTTTATAGAAATACATGGTCACTCCAGAATCCAAAGTCGTTCAGCAAAGAGCCACTCAAGCAAATAAGTTAATAATCAAGGTAACATTATTGTTCGGCGGGTAACGAGACTACCACTAATTTGAGATAAGAAGAAATTAAAATCATCACATATTGAAAACATACTTATTTTTCACTCATATGTGAAGCGTCAAAGTCTAAAACATCAAAACATATAATAGCCAATGAATAAGACTCAAGCATTTTTTTTCTAAAAGAACTTTACAGTGATGATGATGATTTTCTTTGACCAAAAAGACAAAACTAAGTATGAGCTGTAATTATTATTTTTATCGAAAGTTCCTAAATCGACAAAACTAATTTGATTTTATGTTTTTTTCACTAGACTTTAATTTGATTTTGTGTTCTAGGGTTTAAATATGTTTCATTCCTTTCAAGCCTTTTAGGTTTGCAGATCAGTCGGCAAATTAACTACTAAATGCAACGTATGGATCAGGCCAAGTAGCTCTTACACTTATCAACACTCAAAAGTCGGTCCTACAAGAGCTGAACCGGAATGGCATGAGGGTTCATTCCAGCAAAAACATCTCTTTAGTTATAAATACAAGTTGGCCAAGGGAGGAAATGACTTAAAGAGGGTTTGTTTGGCTTTTACAATTGAGTTAATGATGGTACCAATACTCTGGAGTCCTAACTAACTAAGCTATGTTGAATTAATAGTACTATATATTTAACAGTTTCTGAACAAGCAATCACCAACGTTAAGTACTTTTAAGTCCATAACCCTCGCCAAATTCTTAATTTTATTAGTCTTGAAATTACATCATACTCTAGTATTTTAATCCGACATTTATCGATGTTAATCACGTTACTATAGTGTCAATAATTTACAGTTATGTGATGAACTAGCATCAATCTTATATATTCGAGCGTTAACTAATGATTCATACTCTTTAAACCCAACACTTCTTTCTCAATTACAAGAAAAAGAAGAGAAGAAAGAAGAAACACTATATGCTTTCCTTGTACTTTTTGTCAGCTTCCACTTTTTCACTATGTAGACCCATTCATTGTTTCTTCCATATATATGTTAGAGCATCCGCAACAAGAGATCCTTAGAAGGAATCCTTATAAAAAAAGAAAAAGAGACATTTCAGATTATATAAGGATATTTCAGATTTTTTCTTTAAAAATAAAAAAACTGACCAATCGCGGACTGACACGTGGGCAATGGAGCCCGTGAATAGTGTACGTATCAATCCTTACATAAGGATTTTATCCTTAAAATCCTTAACTGTTCATGGGACCCATTGATTATAAAATTAATATTTTCCTAAGGATTCTCCCTAAGGACTCCTTGTTGCAGGTGGTCTTACACACCGCAACATCCATTAGTTCTATAGTTTGACATTTCAACCTACAATATTTTTTTCATAGTTTATAATTCTTGACCCAGATCTTTAGATTATAGGAAGTTTCTAGTTCTTAATCAGCCTCTTAGGATATCTCAGTTTTCTTATTACTATCGCTCAGAGATTAGCTTTGAGATTCATGAAATGCGTTTTGACACAAACCACAGTGGATATATCCACTGCTTAAATTTATAATTTTTCTCTGCACCTTTCCTTTCTTGACCGGATCAACTGATCAAATGGTTTATCAAAAAATAAATGTTACGTTTGGTGAAAACTTCTATACCTTCTTAATTCTCGCTCTCTCTTTAAACCGTATCATATTTCTTATCACTCCCACCTTCCATCCTCATCCAAATAAAACCAATAAATCTAAGACCTCTAAATCTAATTCATTTGCAATGTATAAAATCAAAACTTCTCCGAGTAACCATAAATATTTCATACATTTTACCATTTTTTTGTAATTTTAGGGTTTATAAATTTGTCATATTTTTGGAGTTCGCATATTATTCAACCAAGCTTGGCATTTTAATTGAAGACTGTCCTTAGTAAACTTTAGAAGCTCCAAATTTTAGTTTATAATCTACCTCATATCCATAACCAACTGTCGATAATACGATAATTAAGGTGTGAATTAATCCTTCCGAATAACTTATACTAGTGACTTTCTAGACCACCACCTACCTGTAGTTAGTTAATCACATTTACTTTGCAAACAAAACTTAAGATGGAGATTTAAAATTAGGTTGGTTATGTTTTTGAGTTTCTAGATAAGTGAAAAACTGCTGACAAAAAAAAAAGATAAGTGAAAAACTTTTAAAAAGTTATTTTTAGGTTTTCCTGTGACGTTGACAAAGCTGACACAGTAAAAAAGACAATTCATACCGGTTCTAACGGTAACATTTAGACCGAAAAAGAACACTGCAACTGGTATAAATACGACTGTATAAATAAAAGAGCGTACAAAAATATCCTCCCAAAGATTAAAAAAACACACACACGACAACAACGCCTAGTAGGGGTAGTACAGTCATTTGAAGGAATATACACACGCTGAATGTTACCAAGCACAAGAAAAAAAAGAGATGTGTATTCAAGAACAAGAGGAA